ATTCTTTGGCGCTCAGCCTTCCTTATGGTTCAACCTTCACAGCCATCCATTGCAACTGGGAAAACCACAGCCTTTTTGTTGGCAGGGTTACTACTCTGCAAATACTCCTAGCACTAATGATGCTACCTAGTTGGGTCATGAAATATCTGCAAGAAAGCAACCAACTCAGAGAGCACCAAGGACCCCTCATACAAATATTTTCTTTTATTGAAATAAATTTAAGGGGAAAGTAGATTTAGAGAAAGAGTAAGAGAGATTTGCTTATCAAGCCTCTGCAGTTCTCAGTTTGGGGCCACAACTGAAAATGGAATATCTATCGTTAAGCGATGCAGTTGTTGAATGAATGAATGAACCTGATTTTACGGACTTTTTGCTGCAGTTGTTAAGTTAATCACTGCAATCGTTCAGTGAATCATATGGTCATTAAGTGAATCTGGCTTCCCCTATTGACTTTTCTTGTTGGAAGCTGGCTGGGATGGGTTGCATTCACGTAATTCAAGGACACTGTAAATGTGATAAATGCATACCAGTGCTTGAACTGTGACTAAGTGACCCCAGAAATGCTACAATAGCCATAAGTGCGAGGAAAAGTCATAAGTCTCTTTTTTTCAGCATGGTCGTAATTTCAAACAGTTGCTAAATGAATCATTGTAAGTCAAGGATTATGTTTATAGCTATTTAAATGCCTCTCCTTCACATTTTTCATATATCCTTTAAAAAATAGCATTGATTTGCAAAATAGGAAAAGAAAATGTAGCATTTAACAACTTTATGTTGTGCATTTTCCTTTTAATGGTTTAATGGTTTAAATTTTTCCTTCCCTCCTTCGTTCCTTCCTCTTTCTTGCTTTTTCTCCTTCCTTCCTTTCTTTTTCTTTCTTTCTCTTTCTTTTTCACCGTCCTCCCTTCCTGTCTGCCTTCCTCTCCTTCCCTTCCTTTCTTTTCTTCTTCCCCTTCATTTTTTCCACCATTCCTTTAATTCTTCTCTCTCTTTCTCCCGCCCCTCCATTACTCCTTCCTTCCTTTTCTTTCTCACTCCTTTTTCTCCTTCCTTTTCTTCCCCCTTCCCTTTCTTTCCCCTCTCATTTCTTCCACCCTTCCTTTCTTTTGTTCCTCTCTCTCTTTCTCCCCTCCCTCCTTCTTCCTTCTTCCATTCCTTCCTTCTCCTAGGTTTGTCAATAGTTTGGCCTACTATGGATTAAGCCTGAACGTTGGCAGCTTCGGCCTGAATATCTACCTGACTCAGGTCATCTTCGGGGCCGTTGAAATCCCCGCCCGGATCCTTTCCGTCTTCCTGATGCAGCGTTTCGGAAGGAAGAAGTGCCAATCACTCTGCCTCCTCCTTGGGGGGACCTTTTCCCTTCTGATCATCGCTGTCCCCAAAGGTGTGCTTTCAATTAAGAATGTCCAGGGGTGCCCACATTTTGCTCAGCTGGAATTGTTGGAAAGGGATGCTCAGAAAGTGGCTCAGACGTTGAGCTTGTCAATCAGAAGGTCGGCAGTTCGGCGGTTCGAATCCCTAGCACCACGTAATGGAGTGAGCTCCCGTGACTTGTCCCAGCTTCTGCCAACCTAGCAGTTCGAAAGCACGTAAAAAATGCAAGTAGAAAAATAGGAACCACCTTTGGTGGGAAGGGAACAGCGCTCCGTGAGCCTTCGGCGTTTAATCATGCCAGCCACCTGACCATTGAGACGTCTTCAGACAGAGCTGGCTCTTCGGCTTTGAAACGGAGATGAGCACCGCCCCCTAGAGTCAGGAACGTAGCACGTATGTGCAAGGGGAACCTTCACCTTTGCCTAATTGTTGGAGACAGGTAGAGCTCAATTGATTACCGTAGCTGAGCCCAAAGGACCAATGGAGACATGATAGCAATGTTGAGGGGCTGCCACAAGAGGAGGGGATCAAGTTATTTCCCAAAGCACCTGAAGGCCAGACAAGGAATAATGGATGGAAACTGAACAAGGGGTTAGATTCAACCTGGAAATAAGGAGAAATTTTCTGACAATGAGGCCAATCAACCAATGGAACAGAAGTTGCCTTCGGAAGTTGTGGGAGCTTCATCCCTGGAGGCTTTCAAGAGGAGACTGGACTGCTATCTGTCAGAAATGGTGTAGGGCGAGGGGTTGGACTAGATGACCTACAAGGTCCCTTCCAACTCTGTTAATTTGAAATACTGTTAAATAGAGATACAGGTAGTCAACCAAAACGGAGCCCAAAATTTATGTTGCCCAAGGGAGAAAGTTGTTAAGTGAGTCTCACCCCGTCTTATATATTTTTTGCCACGGCTCTTAAGCAAATAAGTGTAGTTGTTAAATTAATCTTGCGGTCGTGAAGCAAATATGGCTTTCCCCCTCCCCCCCATTGACTTCGCTTGTCAAAAGATGACTGGGAGAGTCACAAAAGATAATCACGTGACCTTGGGACAGTGAAACCGTCATAAGTACAAGCCAGTTGCCAAGCACCTGAATTTTGATCAGATGACGATGACCTGCATGGTCAATTTTGATCTCTAGCGGTGGTAAGTCTGTAAAACAGTCATAAGTCACTCTTTTCAATGCTCTTTGCAACTTCAAATGGTCCCTTTAAAACTGGCTAAGTCAAGAACTACCTGTATTTGTAGCCAATCCCTTATTATTATACTTGTATGCAGCCCTATTCCTGGGGGGACTTATGGGTCATATCTACTACTAAATATAGAAAAAAAAGAGGGTTTCAGGGGCCTCTTAAATTCAGAATATTTTGTTGCGATCGCTTTTATTTCGGATTTTCTGTCTCTTCATCTCCGGTTTCTCTCTCCAGATTTACCTGTGGTAACCACATTGCTGGCTGTCCTTGGAAAGTTTACAATGGCAGCATCGTTTTCAACATCCTATGTATATTCTGCAGAGCTGTTCCCCACTATTATCCGGTGAGGCTACTTAACAACCACAAGCAAAGTTTAAAAATGTCTTAAGTATAAAACAACAACAGAGTTGGAAGGGGCCTTGGAGGTCTTCTAGTCCAACCCCCTGCTTGAGCAGGAGACCTTATCATTTCAGACAAAAAGGCTGTCCAAACTCATCTTAAAAACTTCCAGTGTTGGAGCATTTACAATTTCTG